GGCCACATCTGCCTCTACCAGGCACGCCACAGCCCTGGTGCATGCTGTTAGGTTACCACACACTAATTATCTTTTGGATTTTCTGCACATTCTTTTCCAAACAAGGCAGCCCTGCCAACTTGTCAACAGGGCATTTAATCTCTAAAAACGAAGTTACTTTCTTTTTGCTTGAGAATACCCACAATCACTTTCTCACAGCCCTAGAAATAGAAGCAGGACTTTTTTTAACTGCCTCTTTAATTTGGAGGGAGAAAAATCTCTGTAAGTTAAAATGTAGCTTCTTTGGTGATTGTAGTACTGTAAGCTTCTCAGATTTAAACCACAGAGCGAGAAATGTCACCATTCCCAGCTGGTAGGAAAGAAAAAACCTGCAGGTGGATGGTGTGAAATTTAAGCAGACTTGGGAAAGAACTAATCCACATGTGGAGTTCTCCACTGGAGATGTGTTTTGACAGCTCTCTGGTAATTTCCTGTTTTGGTTTGCCCACTTCATGTTAATGCATGAAGCAGCATGCTACAGCTGAAAGAGCATGGATTTTGAGATCAAGTGTCCCCACCCTGCCACTTTTAGCTAGGCCAGTCACTTCTCTGAGCTTCAGTTTCTACATCTGACACTTGAGGGTAACAGTCCCTAACTCAATGAATTGCTGTGAGAAGTAAAATTATAATGAATACACAAGTGTTTTATATCATTGTGTGCTACTTGCTAGAGTTGTGTGACTTTGTGCAAATTACTTAATCTCTGTGCCTTGTTTGTTTGTTTGTTTGTTTCCGGTACTGGAGATCGAACTCAGGACCTTGCGCTTATCAGCCAGGCACAGTGCCACTGAGCTACGTCCCCGGCCCTCTGCCTGTTTTTTATTTGTAAAATGGGAATAGTAGTACTGTATCCACTTAGAGTTGTGAGTATTAAATAAATTAATACATGTAAAGTGCTTAGAATAGTGCTTAGCTATGTTTTCTGTAATTTCTATCAGATAATATACCTATTATTTATTTTTTTTTCCCGTGCACTTCACTTGGTAATCAAATACAAAAGAATTTGATATTTGTAACTCAACTACTACTGAGTACTTGGTGCAAAGCATTAATATAGGTGCTGTCTACAAATATATATTAGGGGGATGGTCATCTATTTTGCAAAAGGAAATAGCAATATAGTGTGTCAATTTAACAATTCACTTTGATAGCACCAACTATTGATTTCAACACAGTGCAGAATCTAAAAGACATGCAACACATCCTTCAAGGACTATTTTAAATATATTCTTATTCTAATTTTTTTCTGGAACAGGGTCTCTCTATGTAGTTCAGGCTGGCCTTGAACTCACTATGTATTCTAGGCTGGCCTCAAACTCCTGATCCTCCTGCCTCAGCCTTTCGAGTGCTGGGATCACAGGCATGCGCTACCATGTCTGGCTCTTATTCTAATATGAATGTGTGGTCATAGTAGACAATTTTTTAAAGTCATGATAAGAAATATCTGTAATAATTAAAATAATGAAATAATAATGACATAAAAATGAAATCACCACTATTACCACCTCAAGAGATAACTGTTTTACATTTTGGTTTAAATTATTTTCACACAGTTCTTAATGTGTAAAGTAGAACTGTGATAGTTTTAGTCCATTACTGTGAAGCTCCTTTGGACTATTCATTTGTAGACAACTGAGATAGAATAGAAGAAACAAAGGCAAGTGAAATGGAGACAAAGAAAATCGCAACTTAAAAGTGGTACTTTAAAAAAAATTGCAGCTGCAGGACGCAAAGTTACTCAAAGTTATAAATGCCTACCCCTCCCACCCCACGCCCACTCGATCCCATATGATCCTGGACTTTTTCATTGAGCTACATCTCCAGCCTTTTTTTTTTTAATTTAAATTTTTTATTTTATTTTATTTTATTTTTGAGACAAGGTCCTGCTAAGTTATACAGGCTGGGCTTGATCTTGCAGTCCTCTTGACTCAGCCTCCCAGTGTGCTGGGATTATAGGCCTGTGCCACTATGTCTGGCTACAATGCCTTTGTTTCTCTTCTAGGAACCTCACTCCAAAAATTTCTAAGAGTTTTAAAACATAACATAGGCCCATAAAAAGCGCCATTCCTTGCCTTCTGCCTGTAAAATGGGCCCTTAACCTGTAAATTAAGCTCAAGCTTTTCTTCTCATACAAATTCCACAGATTTCCAACCCCAAGAACATATAAATACCCCCAGCCCCAGACCATTCTGCACCACACCCTGGAGCATCTTTACTCCTTTCCCAGTGTGCATTTCTTTGAGTCTGCTTATGCCTTACTGATGAGTCACAATTCTCTTCTGTTGAGTCAAGAACCTACCAAGTGGGGGCAGGAGGTGAGTGGAAGTCCTGATCCCCTCACTGGAGGGACCTCCTCAGACCAACCCATTGACAAACCCATCCCTCAGCCCCTGATCTGTGAACTACACATTTGTTTTCCTCCCTATAGTTTTCCTTTTTTTTTAGAATCCCATGGGCATAGAATCAACAAATTCTAAATCTGGCTTCTATCACTTTACAAAATGCAAGAACAATTGTCCATGTTGTTGTGGAATACAACAGTGCACCCCATGTTAAGGCTGGTGGCATTTCATTACATATATATATCACAGTTCATGCTACATCTAGGCTCTTTCCAACTGTTAAACAGTTCCAAATATTTGCTTATAGATTTTGATGCTGTAGGAGACCAGAATGTATCACCCCAAAATATGACTGTTGGAAACCAGAATAGGTTACCCCTTAATATGCTTCTTTGTCATAAGGATTATTTTCAGCTGATCATTTTGAGAAATAGCAAAGAACAAGCTCTAAAAAGAGAATAGGAATTTCTCTTTTTTTCTTTTCCTTCCCTTTCTTTTCCTTCCTTCCTTCCTTCCTTCCTTCCTTCCTTCCTTCCTTCCTTCCTTCCCTCCTTCCTTCCTTTCTATTGTGGTACTGGGAATTGAACCTAGGACCTTTGCACTGAGATGCATCCCCAGCTCTTTTTATTTATTTATTTTTTTTTTGAGACAGTCTTGCTAATTCGCTACACTGCCCAGGCTGGGCTTGAATTTGTGATCCTTCTTCTCCAGCCTCCCCAGTAGCTGAGATTACAGGAACCACCAGGCCTCACAGGAAGTTTTTATTTGTAAGAGTATCTTCCACTCTGTAATAATAAGAAAAGGATGGCTCAGAATCACTCAACTTGTCAGTGGAGAAAGGACTGGTTGAAATTTGCATAACAACCTGTGCCCTTGTTTGCCTTGCCTTTGCTGGACATCTCCCCACAGGTAGCCTTTCTCATACCCTTCTTTCTTTGTTTTTTTAGACAACTGTATTTAAGCCTTTCTGTCACTATACATGTTCTATTTGTTTTTCTTGTTACCTGTCTTTTGCTACAGGGGTGTACTCCAAACATGAACTATGAAGGGCAAAGAGAAAATCAGTTTTTTCTCTCCTACAGTTTGTACTTTTCTTTGGGATATATACCACAGAAGGAAATTGTAATGGTGGCCGCTCCTTTGTAAGTTGTCCTTTGCAAAGTTACTTTCCTTCCCTTTGCCAAGCATTCTAAATTCTAAAGAGAAGCCACATAAATGATTAAGATGTTACTGCTATATAATCTTTCTTTAGATTTACAGACCTCAGAACATTTGGTGACCTTCAGATGACATCAGAATACATAAAGACCCTCCTTATTCTTTAGTTCTGTGCATTAACTAACACAAAGCATGTAAATTGCTTTGAGATTTAACTTGCATAACAGTAATACATCCGTCTAAAGAACTGCAGGAACTAGCTCTAGGAGGTGAGGTCCTTGGCGATGTTTAGAGAAGAAGAGAAAAAGAAGCCAGGCATTCTGGATGACAAAGATCCTTCACAGCATGCAGTCTTTCTGCCCACTGCTCCCTGCACCTCCTTCCTTTCCCTAGAAAACATCTTTCATATACCTGAGTTCCTCAAGATGGAGCTTTGGGTACAACAAACCCTCCATCTTTTCAGGCCCAGTCCTTAACACAACTGATTTCTTTCCCACCAACTCTTGCCTTACTTCTTAGCAATGAGCCGCTGGACCTTCATCCTGTAACAAAATTGTTGGTCACGTGATAGGTAAGCATTTATAAGAAACTGTCAAACTGTTTCCCAAAATGGTTGTGCCATTTTAAATTCCTATCAGCAATGTATGAGAATTCTAATAGTTTTAGTGAAATTGGAACAATGGAGCTGAGGAAATCTCTCCCCTCCACTGATTTAAATTTCAACAGTACTGTAAGGCTGTTCCTCCTTCCATGGTCCTAAGAGAGGTAGAGAATAACATAAAAACCCAGGAGACTATCTAGGCAAGAGCACAGGCACACTGGATCTCCTGGCCTGACCTTCAGTCACCTTCATCTTATTCAAACCTTATTAAGGATTCATGAATATGTACTACATCTCATACATTTATGTTAAGATCAGAGTGAATTTTGGAACAGGTATGTGTTTTAAGAGCCCCCCCACGATGACTCAGCACCCTGTCAATCATTCCAATATTAAGAGGTAGGGCATGCAAAGCTGGCTGGGGAAATAAGTGGAACCTGTCAATTACAAGATCCCAGGACAGTGCCAAATAATTTCCAGGACCTCCTATGTCAAACTTCTCACGGACTCCCAGGAGAGAGATGTGAATGGCATAAAAGAGACAAGACACCAGGAAGAGCCTGGTATTGTGAATTGTCATGGTAGATGCACAGTGCACTTTTATTTTTCCTTTTATTCTTTCCTTTCTTTATTTTGCCCAAGTTCATTCTACAGAGCCAGTTTCTCCCACTCCCTTTTATCCACCAACTTTTTTTTTGGTACTGGGGATTGAATTTGGGACCTTGCGCTTGCAAGACGGGGGTGGGGGTGGGGGGGTGTGGGGGGGGTGTGGGGAACCACTGAGCTAAATCCCTGGCCCCACCCACCAACTTTTAAATAAACTTTTGGCATCATTTTTGGCTTGTCTTGTCCAAATTCTTTGAGGCAAGAAGGACCTGGAATAAGTTTAATTGGCAAGCCAGTTTGAAAGGAGCTACCCAAAGACAATTCCTGTCCATCACACCTAGAGATTCAGGAGAGGTATGTGGGCAGAGATGCATAGCCTTTAAATTCTGAAAGCCTATTTTATCCGGGAGCAGTTTGCTGTTATATGTGTAGTGCTTTTTGTTTTCCTGTCATCCTGGCACCACTTTTCTGTTCATGCTACATTATTTGTTGGCATGGACTTGTTCTGAGCATAACTTTCCCTGATCTTCAATAAATGTAGCTGCATTCCACTTACAATTGAGTGTGCACTTGCAATTGGTTGCTCTTTGTACACAAGAGTCTGGATTTTTCCTGCTGAATTCATAATGTGATAACAGCTCCATATCCTCAACAACACTTGGAATTTCCATGTTTTAAAATTTTAAATATTTAAATAGTTATGTCATGGTATCTTGTGATTTTAATTTGTATTTCCCTAATGATTAATAATAATGAAATTGTGTGTGTGTGTGTTTGTGTGTGTGTGTGTGTGTGTTATTGTGGTAGTGGGGATTGCACCCAGGGCCTTTGCACTGGACTATATTCCCAGGCTTTTAAAAAATTTTTTATTTTTGAGGCAGGGACTCACTAAAGTCTCCCTGTTGGACTCAAACTTGTCCTGTTTCAGCTTCCCATAGTGCTTGGGATTACAAGCATGTGCCATCATGCCTGATGAGACTTTTCTCCCTGTGGCACTGGGAGTCAAACTCACGGCATTGAATATACTGGCACTCTACCACTGAGCTATAACTCCCCCCCCAGCCTTTTTACTTATGCTATTTTGCATCTGAATATGTTCTTTGGTAAAGAATATGCTTTATGGGGGGAGTAAACTTTTAAGATTTAGGTAGCTTGTTTTCTGATTGTTGTTGTATTTATGAGTTCTTTATATATTTTGGATATAGGCCTCTACCATGTGTGATTTTATAATATTCTTCCTAGTTTATGACTTGTTTTTTCATTGGCTCAATCAAAGAGTCAAAGTTTTGCTTTAGAGCAAAAGTTCTTTAATACAGTCTAATTCATCAATTTTTCTTGCAGAGATCATGTTTTTGGTGTTATATCTAAAAACTCTGCCTAACTGAAGGTTTTTTAAAAGTGGCATTATCGGTATTCTAGATAACTCTGTCATGGAGGGCTGTCCTGTGCATCATGGTGTACTTACTTAGCAGGAACATTCTTGGCCCATAGATACCCATAGCACATTTCCTGCCATTCCTGGGCTCCAATTGTGACAAAAATGTTCCAGATACTGTCAAATATCCCCTGAAGCATAAAGTTGATCCATGTTCAGAACCACTGGCCTAATCCAAAATCATAAATCACATATTCCCATGTTTTCTCCAAAAAGTTTTTTCCTTTAGGTTTTATATTTAGGTTCATGATTCATTATAAATTAACTTTTGTATGAGGTATGATATATAGGACATATGTCATTTGGTCATTGTTTTGTTTAACATATGGACTGCTATAATCTGAATGTTTGTCCCATCCAAAATTCATATGTTGAAATCCCAAGCCCCAAGTTGATGATATTATGAGGTATAGTCTATATTACTTACTTTCTCATTGCTGGGACAAAATACCTGACACTCACATGTTAAAGGTGGAAAGCTTTATTTTACCTCACCATTTGTAGAGGTTTCAATCCATAGTCAGCTGATTCCAAGGCAGAGCAGTATGGCAGAGGAAAAACAGTCCATGGCGGAACAGGCAGGAAGGAGCCACAGAAAGCCTCTCTTTCTGTTTTTTATTTCATTCAGGCCTCAAGACTATTGGTTGGTTCCATTCACACCCAGGACAAATCTTCTGTCTTATTCAGCCACACCCAGAACTATGGTGAGCCAATCCATGGACTCATCTAGTTATCACACACCCATGATCCAGCTACCTCTCAAAAACCCCACTATGAGTCCAGGGATTTAGCTCAGTGGTGCCACCACCTGCCTCACAAGTGCAAGGTCCCAAGTTCATTCCCTGGTACCAAACAAACAAACAAACAAACAAATAAAAAACTCCACTATGCGTGTACGAGGCTTTGGGGTTACATCTATATATAACAGGGTCTTCAGGAGCTAATAAGTGCCTTCTAAAAGGGACCCAGGGAACTTTTTTGTCTTGCCACCATATGAAAACATGACTGTTTATGAACTAGGAAGCAGGCCTTCCTTCTCCAGACACTGAATTGGCTTCCACCTTGATTTTGAATTTTCTAGCCCCCAGAATTGTGACGTATTTCTGTTGTTTATAAACAGAAACAATAATAATTTTCTGTTGTTTATAGTATTTTGTTACAGTAACACAAATGGACAAAGAAATGGGCATTAAGTTGTCCTAGCACCATTAATTTAAAGAGACTCTCTTCATACTATTGAATTACATTTGCTTTGCTGGAAAAAAAATCAATTGACTAGGGCTGAGGATGTAGCTTAGTGATAAGAGTATTTGCCTACCATGTGCATGGGGCCTGAGTTTGAGCAGTACTACAAAAAAAAAAGAAAGAAAAGAAAAGAGAAAGAGAAAGAGAAAAATTAGTTGACCATTTATTTCTGATTTCTCTTCTACGTATCCTTTAACTATTGGTTTGCAAATTTATTTGACAGTTCTATTTCCTTTGCTTTTCCATATACACTTTTAATGCAGTAGTTAATATCTACATAAAAAGAGATTAGAATTTTGATTGGGATTTCTCTGACTATATAATAAATGAGGAAGAATTAACATCTTAATACTACTAAATTTTCTAATCTCCGAACATGTTAAATCTCTCCACTTACTTAGTTTTTCTTGGATTTTTTTCTTCAGTGTTTTTTTTTTTTTTTGTACCAGGGATCGAACACAGGACCTTGAGCTTTTGAGGCAGGTGCATTACCTCTGAGCTAAATCCCCAGCCCTCTTCAGTGTTTGGTACTTTTCAGTTTACAGATCCCAAATAATTTTTTCTAGATATATACATGTTATTTTGTGTTATTTTTAATAGTATTGTTATTTTTTTTGAATCGCAGTTGATCACTTCTGTTATATAGACATAACATTGGTTTTTGTGCATTGAATCCATCCTGAGACTTTATTAAACTAATTTATTAGTTCTAGGACCTTTTGTGTAGTTTTTTTAAGGAGCATTTACAGAGATAGTTATGTTATCTATGCATAGAGACATTTATTTCCATGTCTTGACTTTTTGTTGTTTTGTTTTAAGCCTGTGGCCTTTGCACTAAGCTACATCCCAGTCTTTATTTTTTTATTTTGAGACAGCTTCTAAATCACTAAATTGTCCAGTCTGGGCTCAAACTTGCAATGTTCCTACTTTAGCCTCCCAGTGTGCTGGGATTACAGGCTTGTGCCTGACTCATGTCTTGTTTTATTATGATTAGTGTTTCCAGGTAAGGTTAATGGGAGTCAGAAAAGAGGATATCCTCACTTTGTTTCTCATCTTTGTGAAAACATATTCAGTTACTTAACATTAAGTTTTAAATTAGCTGTAAGGTTTTTTTGTTTTTAGTGCGTTTTGTTTTGCTTTTGCTTTTTGTTGTTTTGTTTCTTTTTGTTTAGTTAGATAACTTTTCTTAGCTCAAGGAAGTTTCCTTTTAGTCTTAGTAGAGATAGCACAATGTGGGCTGGGAGACCACTCCCACCCACCCACTTGAGTTTAGGCAACACCCAGGGGCATTCCTCCTTACATTGTTTAAGAAAAGCAAAAATAAAATAACCAAGACCATGTTAATCTCTATAGCTCCAGGCCAGAGCACATTCACATTACATCTCATGGCCTGACCTTCAGTAACCTTTACCCTACTCTATCTTCATTAAAGGTTCATAAATATGGACATGTATGCATCTCATATATGTAATTAATCCATAATGAATTCTGAAAAAGTCCTGTGCACTAGAAAACCCTTTAGATGACTCAGCAGCCTGCCAATCATTCCTGTCAATCTTACCTAGAAACCCAAAGAGAAACACCACCACCACCACCAGCAGCACCCTCCACCAGCAGCCCTGGGGCTGGGGTACACATCTTTTAAAACCTAAAAGTTTGATTTATCTGTGTGTGTAGTGCTTTTTACTTTCTTGTTGTCCCAGCACCGCTTTTCTGTTTGTGCCACATTTTTGTCATCACAGAACTTCACTGAGCACATCTTCCCATGATCTCTAATAAATGTAGCAGTTTTCCATTGGATGTATGCTTTGCCAGTCTTTGCTCATTGTACACAAGAGCCTGGAGTCTATCTGGTTGATCCATCCTGTGGTAGCAGTCCCACTGTGGTGAGAGTCCTCTTCCTTTTCTTCCTACACCTGCTTCTCCTCTTCCTCTTCTTTGTGATATTGGGGATTGAATCCAGGGCCTTTGCACTGAGCTATGTCACAAATCCTTTTTTTAAAAAAAAAAAAATTCTTGTTTTGGAACAGGGTATTACTAATCCACAGAATTGCTCCAGTTGGGCTCAAATTTGTGATCCTTCTGTGTCAGCCTCCCAGGATGCTGGGATGACAAGCATGGGCCACCATCCCTGGCTACATTTATTTTCTTTAATCTGTTTATATAGTGACTCACACTGATTGATTTGATTTTTTGCAAGTTGAACCAATCTTACTTGTTCATAATGTATTATACGTCTTCTTTTTTTTTTTTTTTTGGTACGGGGAATCAAACTCAGGACCTTGCACTTGCAAGGCAGGTGTGGTGCCACTGAGCTAAATCCCTGGCCCTATACTTATTATATATTCAGCATTTAATTGGCTAATGTTCTGGGGAGGATTTTCTTTGTATTAATGGAATATTTCTCTGTAGTTTTCTTCTCTCCTGATGTTTCTCTGGCTTTGTTGTTTTTCTCTTAAGAAACTACGTTGCCCAGGTTGGTTTTAAACTCTTGGACTCAAGCAGTCCTCCTGCCTAAGCCTCCAGGTTAGGAAAAGCTGCCAGTATGTGCCAATATACCCAGTTTTTCTGAATTTAAGATGAGACCAATGCTCTTCTCAAAATGAACTATGAAGTGTTTCTTCCTCTTTTATTTCTGGAACCATTGTATTGGATTTCTTTCTTCCAGGGATCA